CAATGAAAAGATACAAAAGTCAAAAAACTAATCCCATATCTTGTTACCTTTGCTACAGTATCAAATTGTGATGGAAGACAAGCAATAAATAGGATATCCACAGTAGAACAAACCTAAAACAACAAACATACTTAATTGTTTGATTATCAACACCTTAGCTATTAWCATGCTTGACTTACTTTAAYGTTGTCAAATCCACAGTGAACCCCTCTGGCTTGAAAAGCAGACAATGTTTCTGGTCGTCTTGTAGAAATGAAGAGTTCTTCAGGCTGGACATCAGCTATAATGAATTTTATCATATGACCCGTATTTCGGCCCTTCACGCACTCAACCTTGAGCCAAATATTTTCCCGTATGACCCTCCCATTCAGTCAATAAGTACATAATATTACACAATATATGACATCATTTTGCCTTGTAATGAGTATGTTAGCTTACACATCCACAAAGTCAAACATTGGGAAAAAAAAGTGGATTAAAAACACAGTAGTTGTAATCATTCTTCAATCATCCACAACGTCAATCATCCACAACGTCAATCATCCACAACGTCAATCATCCACAACGTCAATCATCCACAACGTCAATCATCCACAACGTCAATCATCCATATTGTCAATCAACTGTCAATAGAGCGGATTTCGTATGAGTGGCAAACGGATGGTACTGTACGGTGACCGTAATCGTACTGTAACCAAATTCTAGTGCCCCATTGGTTCACCAAAATTGTGCAGGCCAGGTCCGGTAACTGTGCGGTAACCGTGCAGTAACGGTGTCCCACTCATACTAAATCCGTTCTAATCATTGAATGATACTAATTCTGTCAATCAACCATATTAATCTATCAATCACTGGTACTGGTAACATCATTCACATTAAAAATTTCATCTATATTGTAATATACTTACCATATTTCATCAGAGTATTAGCAAGTTGTTTTCCAACCCTTCCACAGCCAATAATACCAACAAGAATAGGGTCTCTCTTTGGTGCTTCCTGCAATAGCTTGGATGCCTGGAAAATAATCCAAATGTATTAAATGATGACCTTATGGTAAAAGTGTTCAAAAAGAGAAAAAAATTACCAATTTACAATTATGACACAAATTCTTTAATATATAACATAACAAAAAAGTATGCTATTCAGCCTTAAATACAATATGCAGAGCATTTCCCTGTTGTTGGAAGAAAAACAATTATGCTTTTTTCAAACTCYCCTCCTTCTAATGGTCAAGACCTAACACCTTCCCCAGTCCTCCACCCCCTCAGTACCCCAAACATGAAAATAAAAATATGTATGGAATGAATGAGTGCAAAGATGAAATGTGAATACCAACAAAGTAACATATCTTAAACCATTAATTGAAAATAGTGGAAGTAGTAGGAATGAAGTGGGGATATAAAAAATACCTCAGCACTGAGCATTGAAAATAAATGACTCAAAATGCAAAACATAAATTATATTAAATACAGCAAAACAAATAAACTAACATGAGTACCTTCTTCTTTGCTGGACATTTTTTCTCCATGATTTTTTGTCGAGCTCCATTGAGTATCGCTACGAGAAATGCTCTGTCAAAACGAAAATTGTGAAAATTTAATCAAAAATTTGTAAAACTTCCAAAACTGTTTAGTATTTTTAATCTTAATACACATTTTTCATCAATAANATGCACCAGTCATTGTAAATCCCCGCCCCCCCCAACCCGGGAAGGGCAGTAACTTAAGCGGGGAAAAAGTAAGAATTTTAATGCTACAAGTTCCCCGGGTACCGGAGTCTTGGATGAGATTTTCGTCTTCGGTTCTCAACCCGGGGATTTCATGCTAAATGGAGAGGTACTGGGGCCGAGAAGGAGAGACTTTCAAGATGGCGGAGGGAAATGTGAGTATCGTGAATGATATGTATTTGTTTCCATCCTTCGATTCTTTCTTGACATTCACACATACTATCACACACAAAAATTTATAGATGAACGCCCAAAGACTGTTAAACAAAAATAAATTGTAAAAAGTCAGTTATACAAAGAGTTATTAAAAAAAATTTTCGAGAACATTTTATAAATTTGCTTATGATGGGTGAGTGCAGGCGGGAACAAGGAAGGACATTGGAATAGATATATTGCCCCGGGGGTGGTAACATTTGCTCACTTTTGTAACAAGCTTTATCCAATTCCCCGCCCCTTCCCGGGTTGGGGGGGGCGGGGATTTACATTGACTGGTGCATAAATGAGTCAAAATGCAAAACATAAATATTAAATACAGCAAAACAAATAAATTAACATGAGTACCTTCTTCTTTGCTGGACATTTTTTCTCCATGATTTTTTGTCGAGCTCCATTGAGTATCGCTACGAGAAATGCTCTGTCAAAACGAAAAATTTTGAAAATTTAATCAAAAATCTGTAAAACTTCCAAAACTGTTTAGTATTTTTAATCTTAATACACATTTTTCATCAATAATTTAATACACACATTAAGAACACTCAATTTAACACAATGAAATGAAGAAGAACTCATAAAAACACTTCCATAATAAAAACAGCTGAGTTGCTACTTACCCTTGTGCACATGACGACAGTGTCAGAGCATGACTTCGAGCTCGTAAATACAGCAGTTCTCTAGAAAATATCAAAAATAGATGCCTTAATATTATTTGTATTCATTGCAAAAGCGTTGACGATATTCGTACTTTTCTTGCGGAGTTAGCGCCGACTCAAACTGCAAAGATGGTAAGTTTGCTGTGATGTCTTCGTCCGCCATCTTGGTTGCTTAGCAGACAACCGCTGTTTGACACAGGGTACCCATGCGTAAGTGAGCGAATACGAAAAAAAATAAATGTCAATGAAAAATAAAGATAGAATAAAAAATAAAAAATAGAAACACAAAATAYAATACACCAGCGATTTACGCTGTCATTTTTATCGAGTGCGCTTGTAAGTGATCCTGCCGATGTCGGATTGACTAACGTAGGGTAGTAGATAATAAATTGTAAAGTAAATACCTTATAAGATACAATCGTATCTATTTAGTTCTCCAATAATATAACACTGACTTATAAATTGTTTGGAAGTATAGTTTTATTATTATAGTCAGTTTTAGCTTGTTTGGTTAACTTTTTCTCGTCCTTGACTTTCACGTCTTATCGCAGGCTAATCCAAAATGTCAGCAGGTTATCAATGACACAAGGAAATTTGGAAATAAATAACTTAAATACTGCGTACAATGGTTTGTAGAGGAAGCGATATTGACTATATAGCCGAGAGTACAAACTTTCAATCATTATGGATGAAAAGTGCTTTTCGTAAACAAATATCATCTATATATGCCATGAATATGATAGGTCATGTAATGATCATGAAACATCGTATATTAAAAAGATACGATTCAATAAGCAGACGCTCTACCAATTCTTAACTTTGATATGCATATTTTTTTTTTGGTACTAGAGGTTGTACCTTACCCTTTCTCATAGATTATCTATCATTACACTGTACGGTGCCAGTTGCAAATCGTCTTGACAACACGTAACGCCCMAAAATAGGAGATTTAACCCAGCCTCTAGCATAGCTTTGACTATGCCTTTAAAGGACATGTATGTTATATTTCAGCGTGATTGTTATTGAGCTTCTGAAAATTCGAGACGCTTGATAATTATCACGTGAATAGCAAAATGGTTATTTGTGACATTATACTTTTATTAGGTCTTCAGCGAAAGCTACCGTCCCTCTTGTCAGATATGATTCTCAAGCAAATATTTCCCAGACAAGTTTTTAATTAGCAGTAAGTTACATGCACGCCAATACCGAGTCATGAAATAAGTAYGTCTCATGCATTACGCATATATTCTTAAAGAAAAAAGTTTTTTTCTTTTTATTCTTTTGATGTGAAATTTAGGATTAGCTGCGGTACGTATCACATGATCTCCACCTTACATGTCAAAAAATGACAGCTAATTTTAGCTAATTACTCAGTCTCATCCAGTAGGCTTTGCAGCACTACACAATGCAGTATTAATTACTTTTGAAGACAATTGACTTACGTAACAAGCGTTCTGGTGACTTGAAAAGCCAGGGCTATGCTTGCGTGACGAAGACAAACACGCGTTTTTTTTTAAACGTGAAGAAGCCAGTTTTTTGGTTTTTAGTGACAAAATGTTTGTATACAATCGAAAGTACACCAGTCTATTACAAGATAAACACTAGCTCTCAGTCAAGGACATCGAAAGTGAGACGGCATGCCATATTGTTTTAGAACTCACACGAATATCAATTCAAAACAAAGAAAATTTCGTTTTGATGGCGATGAAGTCTTCGATTGAAGAGTTTGTAGTCGTTTTAGACGATCCTGACCGTGTTTACTCGCCCGGACAACATGTACACGGTAAAGTCATCTTAAACTCAAAACAACCTGTGAAAATCCATAAGCTATTCTTGGAGTGTAATGGTGAAGCSTATGTATGCTGGCCGGAGGGTAGCGGTACTTACACTCGATATCGCTACAATAAACAAGAATATTATCATCTAAAATCCTGCTTGTACGATCAAGGTATAGTATCTGAACTATCAATCAAAGTATCTAGATAGACYACACCGAATATTGTTACTAAACAATCCAAAATGTTTGAATTTCGTCGGCGGCATTATAATTAAAATATACACCGACTGCCACTTTTATTGACAAAATGTGGTAAAAACTATAGATCTTATGAGCATCTGTGCTGCGAACACCTCATACTCGGATGTCCTATAATACACAAGAAGTGCCCGTAATATAGAGGTGTCTGTAATATAGARGTGTCCGTAATATAGAGGTGGTTGTATTATATAGAGCAGATCTTAAAGTATTTTCGCCCTAGAATCTGCATATAAATACACTACTTTCTCATGATAAATATGCATATCTTGCTAAGTGTTTTTTTATACAAATTCCTACTGATCTCAAGTCCTGATCATCGTGGGGGAGTGAAAAGAAATTCAAACAATTCAAAAAAGAATTCAAATCAAATCGATGCTTCTCACRGCGGAAAGGAGCTCAGTTAAGATGGATCATTTGGTCAACTTCGCATTGAAATAGATCCTTTCACAAGAGCCATCCAGGAACACCGCGAAAAAACAGCGATTCTCACCTCACAATTGCTCAGCAAAAACCTGCCGGTCAACAAAAAAACACCCTTTAAAACAAACATTTTGACGCTCAGACATACACAGTTTTTTGCATATTTTATTCGGTATAAATACTGTATAATGATTCTCACAAACTCGATACACTTGCTAAGATTCAAGCGTCCTGGGAGTTTATACAAATAAGGTTGACAGTTGAAAAAAAGGAATGGCATTGTGCTCTTATATAAAGACAATTGAAATCGATGAACATAAGAAATA